GCTGAAGAATGCTGCTCACTGAAAAATCATGGCAGAGTGAGAGGTTACCACCTGCAAAGGTTTCACTCTTTCAGAATTTGAAAAGAGCTGTGTTTCAAGGAAGGTACATATTTTTTTTAAATAATTGAATGAACTCCAAAAACTTTATTGAATCAAGTATTTAAAAATGATATTTACATATAACTATTTATTTAGTAATATATGGGGACAATTCTTGGTGCCACAACAGATTTTACTAGGAAGCTACTAAATAGAGTTCGAGAAAAAAGGAACACAATGACACATTTGTGGATGGCTCTACCCGAGGCATCAAATTCATGAGTCGAGGTAATAAAATGTGGATGCAAGAAAAATTGTGGAATACAATGCAAATATAATTGTTTAGGATTAACCTGCTCAGAGCTCTGCGAGTGTTCTGGTCAGTGTTTGGAATAAAAATGAACAAAACTTATTTTTATTAACTTTTTACCAAATTTTGAAAAAAGGTTTTATTTTGTTGAATAATAAATTTAACTTTTTTAAATATTTTTAACTATATTTTAATTAGTAATGTGGAATAATTGTTTATTTAAAGTTATTTCTTCTTTAAATTCTGCTCTTAATGCAACCTTATATCATCGGTTTAGAAGATTATATAGTTTTTACAGTCAACTCAGTTGGAGGTTGCCCCAGGACCAAAAAAATATTTTTAGAATGGGGTCTTTTTTTATTTATTTTTTGAATTCTTTTTATTCATACACAACTTCCTGAAAGTTTCAAGTATCACAAATTGAACTATTTTACTGAATATTTACTTTTATTCCCCCCACTAACAGTATTTAATTTATCCTAACCAATGTTAACCTAACAAAAAATTATAAATCAATGTTCTCCACAAAAAAATACGTACCTTCGATAGCAAAACATGTTTGGGTTAAGAATCAGATAAAGAAAATGCAAAGGAAAGTGATATAGCAATTAACAATGATTCAGGATCAATCTGCTTCATGTCCTGCTGCCTTGTAGAATACGCCTTTTTAGGCAAAGGCTAGGAGATGCCAACTCCGACAAAAAACACCCCCTGCCTTGGGGTTCTTGGTTGAGTAAAGGCTAGAGATGGTGTCTCAATAAAAATACACATCTTGGACAGATGTTAAATGTATCCGGTTGCTGTCTTGTAGAAGGCTTCCTAGGCAAAGACTTAAGGATTAAACAGATTCTATCTGTTGACGAGCCTCGCACCCCTTATTCATCTATTAGGCTGCCACAGATGTATTTTTAATACATTGTTTCCAGTTTAGGATTTTGAATGCTGGATCTTCTTGACTCAATGCATGGGTTTTGCTTGTGTCTCTGTTTTTATGACTAAGCAACTCATTCAATTATCTCCTAATGAGGGTACAGCTCTAAAACTGAGTTTTTCCATCAACAGCTGTAAAATATCAAAGTACTAACAGTGCCATGTTGCGCATGGATGGTGTCCCTGTTTGAATTTTTGGTTTGCATTGCCAAGGCCACGGAGCCCTTTGTTACGGATTAGGATTTATTAATAGTAATGAGGCAATTGCTTGGGCTATTAAACAGTATACTGAGTACTGTCTATGTTTCGAGTCAAGTTATTTCACAAATTTAAAAATGAATAAAGTAACAAAAACTATAAAACACAAAAAACCACAGTCATCACCAAATTCGCTAAACCTATCACTAATATTCATGGTCTTTAAAGTAACTTTTTTTCTGTTGAGTCCTATCTCTTGCAAAGTTCACCAGACCTACTTGCTCTTTGTGAGACTAATTTGAGTTCAGCTGTCTCATCTTGTGATTTTAGTGTTGATGGTTATCTTCCTTTAATTCGTAAAGACTCCAATAGTCACATGCTTGGCCTGGGCATTTACATTCGTAAGAATTCACCCATTTGTCGGGTACCTAGGTTTGAATCCACAGACTACTCTTTTATGTGCTTTCGTTTAACCAAAATTCACTCTATCACCTTTCTCTTTGTTCTATATTGCTCTCCTTCATCTCAAGACTGCACTCTTCTTGATGTTATTTCTGATCATATTGACCAAACCCTCTTTCTTTATCCATCAGCCAATATTGTTGTTGTCTGTGACTTTAATGTTCATCACACTGAATGGCTTGGCTCTAGTGTCAGAGACTCTGCAGGCATTGAAGCCCACAACTTTTGCCTTTCTCAATTCCTAACTCAAATAGTCAACTTTCCAACTTCGCTTCCCAGACAACCTGAATCATTTACCTTCTCTACTCAACTTGTGTCTTGTTTCTGATCCTAGTCAGTGCTCAGTTTCTCCACATTCACCTTTAGGTGCCTCTGATCACAGTTTGATCTCTCTAAAACTATTATCTCATTCTTCTTTATCATCCGACTCCCCCTAGCACATCTTACAATTACCTTAAAGTTGACTAGGACTCTTTCAGTGATTTTTTTTGTGATGACCTTTGGGTAGAAATCTTTCGTCTTCCTGTTGACAAATCTGCTTCTTACATAACTTTGTGGATTCAGGCTGGCATGGAATCCTTTATTCCCTCTCGACAATTCCAGGTCAAGCCTCACTCTTCTCCATGGTTTTCCTCACATTGTGCAGCTGCAATTGCCAATCAAAACCATTACTTCCATATCTATCAGCAAAACAATTCTCCAGAAAACAGACATCTGTTTATTACTGCTAGGAACCATTGTAAAAAGTTTTTATCTAACGCCAAAGCCCACTATTCTCAGATCATGAAATCTTGCATTTGATCTCAAAAATTAGGCTCTTGTGACTTCTTGAGAATCTTTAAAAGTATCAATAATAAGGCAAGTCTGTAATTCCACCTTTTTTGTATGGTTCAGACTTTGCCACCTCACCTAAAGACAAAGCTGAATTGTTTGCTAAGAACTTTTCATCAATATTATTTCTTGATTCCACGTTGCGTTCTACCTGATATAGCTGTCAAACAGGTTGATCTATTGCTCGACATCCATATCACTCCAGCTACTGTATCTAAAGTGATTTCCTGCTTAGACTCTTCTACAGCTTGCGGCCTGGACAACATACCTGTTATAGTCTTGCAGAAGTGTTCTCCGGAGCTGTCATCTATCCTTTCAAAACTATTCAACAAGTGCTTATCAGAGTCTTGTTTTCCAGCCTGATTCGTCTAACTACCGTCCCATTAGTCTTCTTCCTATCATAAGCAAGGTTTTTGAATCTTTAATTAACAAACACTTAATCTCTTTAAGATTATTGAATCCTTCCTTTCCAATCGTAATATAAAAGTTGTCCTTGATGGACAGCACTCTTCTTCTTATTCTGTAACCTCAGGGGTTCCTCAAGGTTCAATCCTTGGCCCTATACTTTTTTTAATTTACATTAAGGATCTTCCAGATATTCTCACACCTAAGGTGCTATTGTTCGCTGATGATACTGATCTCGTTGATTTCACTTTTGCTACAGCATGGGGCTCACAATGGCTGGTGAACTTTAATTCAGATAAAACTCTATTTTTTTCAGCCAATCATTATCCCAATAATTTAGACCTTCCTATATTTATGAATGGTAATGTACTCGATGAGTCATCTACCCTTCATCTTCTAGGATTAACTCTTACTTCTGATCTTTCTTGGAAACCTTATATCAAATCCGTTGCAAAATTAGCATCTGCTAAAGTTGCATCTCTTTATTGAGCTAGACACTTTCTAACTCTGGATATTATTCTCTATTTCTATAAATCTCAAATCCTTCCTTGTATAGAATACTGTTGCCATATCTTGGACGAATCTTCTAACGATGCCCTTTCTTTTTTAAACAAGGTGCAAAAACGCATTGTAAACATAGTTGGAGCTTTCCTGATTCATATAATTTGCAATCTTTTAAGTCGCCTGTCAATCGTTATCTTGCTCTACAATTTTCATCTTTTCTCTTCCAGTAACTTCCAACACTAACTAGTGGTTGCTTGCAGCCTTGTTGGAAGCGAATATATTTAATCCAAAAACAAAAAATAAAACTACATTTTTATTGATATCATAAAAAAAGTACTCATGAAAGTAGCAACCGAATAATTCACATAAACTGTTAAGGTTTTTCAAATTTCCACTGTTTATAACCCCATATTGCAAAAGCTTGTTTTTGCAATATGGGGTACAAACAAAAAAAAAACTAAAAATTGATCCAAAAACTTAACAGGAAAGCTCAAATGTTTAAGCATAACAATGCAAAGTTTGCAAAAGAAAAATTCATTTTCTGCAAAAATTACAAAAACTACTTTCAAAACCTTATAAGATAACTTACAAGAAATAACAATTTTCAAATCAAATTACAAACAGTTATAAATTACAAGTTACAAACTAGAACTTTAAAAACAGTTATTTTATGGGTGTTAAAATTATCTGTTATTTTATGGGTGTTAAACTTATTATCTATTATTTTATGAGTTTTAAAGTTATTATCTGTTATTTCATGGGTGTTAAAGTTAATATCTGTTATTTTATGGGTGTTAAAGTTAATATCTGTTATTTTATGGGTGTTAAAGTTAATATCTGTTATTTTATGGGTGTTAAAATTAATATCTGTAATTTCATGGGTGTTAAAATTAATATCTGTTATTTTATGGGTGTTATAGTTATTTTCTGTTGTTCTATGGTTGTTAAAGTTATTATCTGTTATTTTATGGGTGCCAAACTTTACAAAAATGTCCTAGATAGCAGAAAAGTAGTTGATTTTGAAATCAACTTTGCTTATGATGATATCTAATATCTTATTTCTGCTTTAAACCTATGTTTTTTTAAAGATTTTATTGATTTTTTACTCATTATTTAACAGAATGTATCAAAACAACAACTGAGTATACTAAAAATACACATTTTAGCTTCAAAATTCATAACAAATATATAAATTAAATAATGTTAATAAGAAACTATTTTACAATACTAAACAAGTCCATTAGGAACAGACTTTTAAGTTCTTAAGCTTCACAAATAATGTATTTTAACAACACCCACAAATAACATAATGATAACTTACATTTTCTTTGACATCAGAAGGTTTTTGTTCTTCATCTGACTTTTTGTCGCTGCAAGACTTCATTTCTTCCTCTATTCTTTTTTCATTAGACCAGGATTTCATTAACTTTAGCTCTTCATTTTTTGAACTTAAAACAAACTGTGTTTCTTTTAAACATGCTTCTAGCTCTGCTACATAAACTCTTTGTTGATTGTAAAGTTCCCGCTGCTGATGGAAATCATTATGTTTTAATGAAGCTGCTTTAATTTCCTGATCACGCTCTCTTATTATTGCTTCTAAGTCTTTAATGAGTGTTGCATTTTGGGTAGCTTGTTCTTCCTATAAAACAATTTAAATGCTTAGTTCTCAAAATAAGGCTCATATCCATAACAACCAATAACTTTTAACATCTTTAAATTGTTAATTGACAACTGTTAACACCTTTAAATTGATTATGTTAATTAGCAACTAAGATTAGTGAATTTTTTTTTCAGCAGTTATTTCAATACAAAAATTGTATTTATAAAAATCTTTAAAAAAAGTACATAAAAAAAAATAATTATTATAAATAATTACTTAAAAAAAAACAATCACGCACTAGTGATTGCGAAGTTATTGACCATTAGAAAAATAACCTCACCAGATCTGAGAAAAACCATAATGAAAGCATAGCATCATAAAATAATGCTTAAATATTGTGAGTCTTTGTTGCCTAGATATAGCAAAAAATAGAGGATGTTCTAAAAGTTCAATGAACTCGTACAACATTCTAAAACATGTTTTCTACCAAGATTTCTTTATTCTTTTATGTTAATTTATGGTTTATTTGCTATGTGTTTGGATTTGGTTAATAATAACTTTTAGTGTACTCTTAAACATGTTTAATAACTTTTATGATAGTGCACTCTTAAACATGTTTAACAGCTTTTAAGTGTGTGTACTCAAACATTGTATCAATTACTTGTGTACATTTTAAGGCAAATTTGTATTGAGTAAAATTTTATGGAAGCCACTATTGAAAGTATTCAAAGATAAGGTATTGATACTTTTTATAACATCACAAACATTTAACTTTCATGAAATATTTTATTTTCTTTCATGAAATGTGAAATGTGAAACATTTGGAAAACTTGAGTTCAAAAAAAAGAATACACAAATATTTTGTTTAACTTAAGTTCAAAAATAAAGAAAATACCATTGTACATAATTCATCTTTCATAGAGTCATTTTTTTTTGCCAGATTTTCAGCATCTTTTTTGAACAACTCCATGTCATTTTCGCTACTTGCTAGTCTTTCCTTAAAAATAAACAAATTTTATATATATATATATATATATATATATATATATATATATATATATATATATATATATATATATATATATTAATGCAGATTTAGCTTTGCAAGAAATGTCATAAAATATAAAACATATTGAAACTGAAAGCATTTGCAGGAACTTCAGGATTTAGTTTACATCAAGATAAGTATTTTCGTTGACATCATTTGTAACCTTTACTTAACCAAGCACAAAAAATCGTTTACTTTAAGTCCATGGGTTAAATTTTTATAGCCTTTGTTTAAAAAAGTCGTTTACTTTAAGTCCATGAGTTAAATTTATATAGACTTTGTTTAAAAAAGCTACGAGGGGCAATCTGTGTCAAATCAATCCAAAAATAAAAAAAAAATTCTTTTTGAAATCTATGCACCTTAATATATTAGGTATTATGGAATTTTGAAATACAAGCTAATTTGCATAACAATCACTGAAGCTACAAATATACTTTAAGTTTATTTTTTTAGCTTTCTAGTAAATTGAAAAACTTTGGTAATATTTAGCTTTCTAGTAAATTGAAAAACTTTGGTATTAATTTTACTTTTGGTGAAAAGATGTCTTTTATGCAAGGTTAAATTAATTTCATTTAAAAATTTTGAACTGGGAAAACCTACTATGATTTAGTGAGCAGGCATTGAAGATTAAACATTTGACTTCCTTAAATCTAAAAAATGTATGCCAAGTTTAAATGCATTTATTACAGTACCAGATACACAGTCTAGAGATTGTAACCTTGAAAATGTATTTTTAAGATAGTATTGATGAAGTTAACAATTCTTGTATGGATTACAAACTATGGAAGACAAATAATGAATCTCAACTAGAAAATCTAAATAAAACCACAAGTAGCTGAACAATCAAGTCTAAATAAAACCACAAGTAGCTGAACAATCAAGTCTAAATGAAATTACAAGCGGAACTCTTACTCTGACAATAAAGTAAAAATAAAAAAAAATGCTTACATTAAAAAAAACTAATGCTTACATGGATAAATACCAAAATATCTTCTTTAATAAAATTAAAAAATAAATTAAGTACTACAGAGTATATCGTTCTCTGTGACAGAATATATTGTTCTCTATACTGTACAAGATGAAGTACTAAGTTTTCACTGTAACAAAATTAAAAAAAAATTAAATTCAAATGTAATTTATCACAAATTTAACTCAAATCTTAAATAAATTTCATCTCTGATGATCTACTGCTAGTATTATTAGGGCTTCTAGTTCAAACATGTTCAAGTTTTAACGCTCAAACTTTATTCCAAAATTTCAATGTTTAGCTTTTAAAATTTAAAAATAAAAATGCTTTCCTAGTCATTTTATAAAATAAATGGTTATGCAACCAAATATTAAAAATGATTATAATACTAAAAGACTGATTGAATTTCTATTTAGTTATAACGAGGGAAAACTAATTGTATGAAGTTTTATGTATTTAACAACAAAGATGTAAAATTTAGAAATCAATTTTATCATCTTTTTTTAGAAAAAGAAAGTTTTCTCGTTATACTTGATTTTTACCAATTCAGTAGTTTTGTTTTAAGTTTAACAGTTTTATCTACTTTTTTATTATTTTTAATGACAGACATAGTGTAATAGAAGATATGACATTTTTGAAATAAAATTAAAAAAAAAACGAGAAAAGATTTTTTTGTACTATATACAGTGACCTCAATAATAGGAGAGCAAGATCTTTTTAAAAAAATCATGCTTTCCCATTATTGAGGTCACTGTATATAGTACAAAAAAAAGTATTTTAATTCTTTTATTTTTGCAACCAATTCGATAAAAAAAAAATTAATAATAGATAATTAAAACCTAAAATAACAAAAAATATATTACTGAATATTTATGCAACCTACCATTAAATTTTCAACAGTTCTTTTGTTTTCATCTTGCAAAACTAATGCAATTTCTTCTAAGTCCTTTTTTTCTTTACTTAACTGTGAAACAAGATCTGAAAATTTCTCAATATCCTCCTTTTGTTGCAATGAAAGTTGAGCCATGCGCGCATGGTTGACTGAAAGGTCTGATATCTTTTTAAACAGTTCAGAAATCTTTAAATATATACAGTTTAAATAAATATTATTAAATATATACATTTAAACATAAACAGTTTAAATAAATATTATTAAATATATATATTTAAGTATAAATAGTTTAAATAAATATTATTAAATATATATATTTAAATATAAACAGTTTAAATAAATGAAAAATAATAACTTGAATGATATTAAAAATTACATAACATTTGAACGACTAAATGTTAAAAACCTCTGTTAATAGATAAAAATAAATACTATTTACCATTTCTTTTAACCTCATAACAACTTCATTTTTAGGTGGTTCTATTGTCAATTCCATCAATGGCATACCTTCATTTGAACATAAATTGTTATTGATGTTATTAACTAACTCACACATTTGATTTAAAGACTGGACATCTTCATTAGTTAAAGAGTGAAAGTCTTCATTGGTTAAAACAGAACTATCAGGTCTTATTGTTTGTATTTCATCAGCAAATCTAACTGAGTTCAAATTATGGTTTAATTGATGCATTGGAATAGGACTCCCATGAGTAAAACTTGGCATTTTTTGTTCTGAAACAGCAGTTGATTGGATACCCTTTTGAAAGCTACCAACTATGGAACTAGGAATATCTTTAATAGGGGTTTTGATGGCATTAGCTTCTACATTAAAGTCTATGCTTTTTCCTTGATTCTGTTTGATAACTTTAGTACTTAATTGAACCTGGTACATTTCATTAAGAGTAGACTCAATTTTTTGCTTTTCATAAAGTGTTTCTTGAAGGGCACCTTCTAATTGACACACTTGCTGTAGTAGTTTTTGATTATTAAGTATCAACTCATCATTTTCATTCATTACTTTTGTCATATCAGAACGTAGAGAATCTTCCTTATGAGAATATCCACTGTCTAACATTTGAGAGCGTAACTCTGAAATAATATGTTTATGTTTTTCTGATTTGTGTTTAATTAAGGAAAAGTTTCTTAAAAAAATTATAGAAAAAATTGTTACCTTGTTTTTCCTCCATTATTTCCTTGATAATCTCTTTAAGTGATTCAATTTCCTGTTTTAGATTCTCTTTTTCTTCATCAATTACAAATGCTGCTTTTGTTGCTTTCTTAGAGAAAGCAAACTCTTCCTGTTTGCGACTGTATCTTTCATTCTCAAGCTCCATTTTTAAATTTGCAAACTTGATTTCCTTCGCATTTTTTTCATCCATAAGTTGTTTATTTTCAGCTTGTAAATCAGATAATTTGGTTTCAGCCAGTTTATTTTCTAATTGTAAACTTGTTAGTTTTTCACAAACCAAAATAAGTTCCAACTCTTTTTCTTTTAACTTCTCTTTGCATTCTTGACTTTCTTTTTCTAATTTCTGATTATTTTGCTGAACTGATAAAATCACTTTTGAACTTTCTTCTACTCTATTGTCGCTATCATTTAGTTCTGTTTGCACTTGCTTTAATTGATTTTCTAGCAAACTATTGTATTCCATTAAATTCTTATGATCAGTTTGGATCAAGTTGTTTTTCTCAATTGTTGCCGCAAGTTCAATTTGAGCCTGGTTGTTTTGCTCATTCAATTTAGAAAGATTAAGTTTCAAATCTTTAACTTGAGAGTCATAATCATATATTTGTTGAGTAATATGTTTATTTTCATTTTCAAGGTTTAAAAGCTGGTCCTTTTTTATTTCAAGATCATGTGAGAGAACATTAACATTGTTTTGTGTTTCACTGCAAACAATTCGAATATCACTAAGCTAAAGAAAAAAAAAAAAAATTAAGATTAATAAATAAAAATTAAGATGAATAATGACAGAATTGTTAGTGGAAAAAAAAAATATTGTGTGATTAAAATTTTGAAAAAAACCAATGTGGAAGCCTTTTAGAGGTAAGAACTGTTTAACTTTTTTTATTAAAATAGGTAAACCCCTTTATTAATAAAAAGACACATCTTTCTATTTATACATCACTGATAATGTTAAAAGACATATTTCTACACAAACAACTTATTTAATGATATTAAAAATCATATTTTTAAATTAAGTTATAGTAAGTAATTCCAACAAGGTTGCAGAAGAAAAAAAAAATCAAGAACACCAAATATAAACACTTAAATATAATTAAAAGTCAATTAAGTTCAACCAAGCATGAGTATTAACTTTATATAAAATGTATATCTAAATATACCAACATGCTATACATTTGTATAATATAGTTAATTTGTCGAAGATAATAACTCTCTGAACGGTAAAAAACTGAAAATTTAGTAATACTATTTAGTAATGATAAAAGGTAATAAAAAATTTGAAGTAGTAGAAAAAAAAAAAAAATTCTATAAAAAAAAAAACAACAAAAAGAAAGCCTAGTTAGATAACTATTTTTGTTAAAAATCCCAAGAACATACATAAAACTAAAAAAGTCCAAGAACATACATAAAACTAAAAAAGCCCAAGAATATACATAAAACTAAAAATTAAAATATTGATTTTATAAATGATTGAATGATAAAATATTGATTTTATAACAAAAGATTTTATAAATGAACATTTATATTATTTTTAACGACAGATATAGTGTAAAAGAAGATAAGATATGACATTTTTGAAATAATATTAAAAAATAAATGAGAAAAAGATTTTTTCTCATTTATTTTTAAGGAAATTTCTGTGCACTTGTTGGATTCTGGAACTGATTTGAGACTGCTCAATTTGTATATTACTTAAACCTGGTGTTGCGCCACAAACTTAGAGACACCCTCCCCCGATTTTGTGACGATTTGTAACAAATTGTCACAAAACCGCCTACCCCTAACCCCCTCCCCCAAAGCGTGATGTAATTTATGGACAACCCCTAATATAAATCTCATAAAGATAAATTCAGATACTGCAAGAGCTATATTTTCATTGAATATGTTTTATATAAGGATGTCTTAAGATTTATTTAAATACTACAAAAAAAAAAAAAAAAATGTAAACAAAAATGTGAATTTCTTAGGCACAATGCATTGAGCACTTTTAAACAAGGCCTGATATAGAAATGAGAAAAGGTTTTAATTATAATAATTAACAAACAAAAAGCCACCTTGACTCTAGTGACTCCTAGCAAGGTAGATATGCTAAAAAAAACACTAAAAAAGCTGAAAAAAACAGATAAATAAAGAATACCAAAGTGCTGAAAAAAAACTTTAAAAAAAAAGTTTTTTGAACACGTTTTTGCACTTTTTGTCAAGAATGCCATGAATATTGTTAATGAAACCATGAATATTGTTATGTAAAGAAACAAACATTAAATCACATTAATAGTATGAATAAAATGTATTTATTTAAACAGTTAAATTTTATTAACTGGAATGTTTTTTAAAAAAAACTCTACCTCATTAACAGTAGAAGAAAACATATCTAGCAAATGATCAACAACCATAAATAAGCGTTCACCAATCTCTATACAAAATAAATTTAAAAATATTTTTTACAAAATTTATCTTTATAACTTTAACGGAACATCTACTTTAAACTTTAAAATTCTAGTTCTTTCTATTCTCAAAGTTTTTTAAAGGTATTTTTTTTATAAATTTTCTTTTTAATGTTTTATATAAAGTGTAAATCATTGTTTTAAAAACATAGTACTAATAAAGAAAATTTATTGAATATCATAATAATTTTTTGAAATGTTTTACAAGTTAAAATTTTGAAAGATCATTCATTGAAACAGCTCATTAAAAAAACAAACAAGTATTGACATATAATTTTAACTAACTTTCTTTCAAAAGAAATTTTTATTAATTTTTTATATTATTTGTTACCTGATTCTCCTTTAAGGAGAACAGATTATGCTATAATATTATTTTTTATTTTGTGCTTCATCTGAACTAGATTCATCTATTTTGTTCTTCATCTGAACTAGATTCATCTATTTTGTTCTTCATCTGAACTAGATTCATCTATTTGTTCTTCATCTGAACTAGATTCATCTATTTTGTTCTTCATCTGAACTAGATGAATCTTCACAGTAATACTTTAAGACTAATATTGTTAAACATCTTGTAATCACTTGGATTCAAACAGATATGGAAGCTTTGATTCTGTCTTGTAGGTTAGAATTCAAGTATCACTCTACTTGGTGGTTTTCTCTTTTTTGTGCAGGTTGCTTTTTCTGATTTGAATCATCTCTTTTTTAGCAAACAACTTGCTAAAGAATAATTGTTTTTTATCATTGCAAGAAATAAGACTTAACATTTTTAACTAAATCTTGTATTTTATTTATAAGGTTCTAGAAACTATTAAAAAATTCTTTAATATAATAGCCAAATACTTTTGAAAATTATAATATAAGACTTGCTTAACCAAACACTGTTAAGCAAGTCTTATATTATAATTTTCATATATGTTTTGATCATATTACCTTACTTAGTTTCCTTCTATAAATCCTTAAAATTCATCTCTTGAACTTTATAAACATTCTTCCAGGACAAACAGTTAAATCAATTGTTAGACATTCTAATCGCTTAATGAAGTTCAAGTTATTTCTCACTCCTCTTCAGCTAGCACTGTTGTCCCAGTCTTACAATAGATCATAGCACTGTTGCTAGCACTGTTGTCCCAGTCTTACAATAGATCATAGCACTGTTGCTAGCACTGTTGTCCCAGTCTTACAATAGATCATAGCACTGTTGCTAGCACTGTTGTTACAATAGGGTTCTCTAAAACTTTTTTTATACTCCACTATTCTCTAAACTATTTAATAAGTGTTTAACTGAACCTAGTTTTCCTGCCTGCTAGAAAACAGCATCTGTAGTTCTAAAACTCTGAAGATCACTTTGACCTGTCTAACTATTACACAATCAGTTTTTTTTACTATTAAAAGTAAATTCTTTGAACCTTTAATTGACAAATTTATAACATGTCATCTTAAGTCTAACAATTTAATATGTCATCTTGAGTCTAACAACTTAATATGTTATTATGCGGTAGTAGTGTAGTGGTAGAACACTCGCTTCATAAGCAAGAGGTTCTGAGTTCAATGTCCCTAGTAGTACTGCGCACCATGTCCCTGGTAGTACTGTGCTTAACTTGTTTCTTTGCGCAGCAGTCTTGTTTGCCAAGGTTTGCATTTCGGAGTTATAGATTTAAGAGAAAGGGTTACAACCACAATTAAGTAGCCTCATCATCTGTAGTGGCATTCTCAACCTTGGGGAGGTGAAAAAAAAAAGAGTCTAATAACTTAATATGTCAAAAAAAGAGTCTAACAACTTAATGCAGAAGTAAACTAATGGTAAAACACTAGGTTCACAATCATGAAGTTTAAAGTTCAAATCCATCTGACACCTCTGGAAGTACTCTGCTCAACTTCTCCTCAAGGAGGTCAGGTATAATAAGATTTGTTGTTTCAGAGTTTAGGGTTGAGATTGTTTAGTAAGGTGATACTAATAACTAAAAAAAACACTGATAATCAATGTAAATTTCCATCATTTTGTTCTACTGATGACTTGTAAAACATTTCATTTAATAGCCATTGGATGAACATTACAACAGAAAAGTTCTATAGAGCATTAAACAATGATACAAGGGCAAGTTTATCAAAAGTTTTTTATAAAGCCTGTCTTGCCCAAAAGCTTGCTTCATATGGTGTACTTAAAGCTTTAAATATCAATTGAACCATTTCTTTAAAACTGCAGTATCTAAATTACCCTTGATGAACAATACTCATTCATTTCTAGTAACTTCTGGGGTAGGACAATGTTCCATCAATGGCTCTGTGTTGGTTGAGTTCTATGTGTGCATGATATATACGCATATATGTGTATATGCATATATATGCATGGTATATGCATGCATATGGGTGGATATATACCCTCATATGTGTATATATGCATGATATATGCATGTATATGCGTATATAAAGGTACATATCCAGAGCATTGTCATGGAAGCACTTTAACAGATGAAGACTTAATATCTATAAAAATACTTTGTTAGTAGTAATGGAAACAAATTTAACTTGCATATCCATGAAAACTTTTATTTCAACATGTATATCAATAAACAAACACAATCTCACTAAGCTCAATATTGTCAAAATGTATATTTAAATTTGAAAGATTTCTGCAAGCTTGTATATTGCAAAATATCTTTTAACAATTAAAATAAACTAAATTCAAACTAACCTTTAAGTTCTTCTGGATCTTGAATATTGACTTTAAAATCAGCGTGGTCAATAATACTTTCCTCTTCATCAGGAACTAAACTATGTACAGCATGATCAGGATCAATGGAAACTTCTTCAACATTGGTAATATCATTTTGTAAAGCTAATGTGGTATTGGTGCTTTTCTCTTTAAAATATAATATATTTTAATAAAATAAGATTAAATAGTTTTGTATATTTATATTGACATATGCAAAATTTTGATATGTAAAAATTTGCAGACAAACTAATATATATTATATATATTATATATATATATATATATATATATATATATATATATATATATATATATATATATATATATATATATATATATATATATATATATATATATATATATATATATATATATATATATATATAAAACCCTCGAACTTAGGAAAAATAAGCTCAATCTTATATCATATATATATATATATACATATAATCATATATACAGACATGGTCAGAAAGCGGGTGCGATCATACTCCATAACTGACCACAGAAATAATATTTAGTTGCAAAAAACTGGCCAGAATTTTTAGTCATTTTGAGAACATTTAAATTTAAGTATGTTTCCTAAGAAACCTCTTAGGTTCATTATTTTATCGTAAATTTTAAAATATTTTGTTTTACGGACATACATGGAAATATACATAAACTCAAATGTTCTCAAACATCTTTGTGCGGAAAAATAAAAAAAGAATATTTGCAAACACAAAAAACCTGCCAAATCTACGAACAACTAATTCTATTAATTCAAAAAATACTAACCGAAATTTCTAGAGTATTCTGTTGAAATATTTTTAAAAATTGTATTATTTGAGTTTTGTTATGTTTTCGTTGAGATTTCTATCATAAATTGTTTTAAGAATATACTATCAAACAAACTATAATTTTAATTCTCGACAAAGCTATAAATGTTTTAAACTAACATTATTTGTTTACAAAAATAAATGTTTTAAATTTATCTTTTTTAACTTGTCAACGTTTTGTAAATATATTATATATTTTATTAGTATATTCTTATTTTTTATATAAGGGATGTATTTTTTATGTAATTTATTATGTATGTATTTTTTGTGCATGTAATTTTATTTATGTGTATTTTATTCAAATGTAATCTTTTAAAGCAATTTGTGTGATTGATTTTGTAAACAAAAATACTTTCAATAATAACTGCATTTTTAATGAAATTATTAATAATCATCAAAGTTAATACAAATAATTTTAAACACTAATCCATTTTCCTCAGTATAACCGATAACTGATTCTTTCCCCCAAGAAAAAAAAGTTTTCAAGTTCTTAGAAATTGATTTACTAACTTCAATTATTTTTGCTTCAACCATTCTTACAAACTCGTTATACTTAAAATTGAAGTTATTTTTTTCTGTTTTCAATACTAATTAAAACTATAAAACCCACTCACTAAACATCATCAACGTTATTGTGAAGCAGTTCCACTTCCTCCTCACATAGTAATTTAACATTTTTAGTTAATTTCTATTTAGTCAATTGAATTTCTACAGTAACTCAATGATTTAATTATTCCATTTGTTCATCTTACTAAGAAAAATTGTTTCAAATGTGTTAAACTTTTCAAACTACGTGAAGCATAAAACAGTTATTGAAAAAACTTTTTTATTTATAAATAAACCATCTAGCGTTAGTTTTATTGGTTGAATCTTGTTGGACTTTTCAGGGCTGGGGACTGCATTATTTTGGCGGCCTTTTTTATGTGCCACAGCATAAAAACACAGCTAAAAAAAATACCGAATGGTCCTCTTGACTATTTCACGGCCCCTAACATCGTGATTCCCAAGGCTATAGCCCTTCTACTTCTTCCCCCCCCCACCTCCTCAATCCAGCACTGGAAATAAGATTTAAGTATATAAATAAAAATTATATATACTCTTTGATAAATCGAAGAACATTTGTTTCCTAATTAAACAGTCATTATTAGTAAGTTGTTACTTTATACAAAAAAAGTCACTTAATTTTATAAAAAAAAATTATAAAAAGAGCGAAGTTTCAAAAATATTTGTTTTAATATTATTTATTTTGCTTAAAGTTTTTTCGCATTAAAGGCTATTTTTCTTTTTTTAACAGTCTCTTATCGGTCCAGTTAAACTTATTGCAATTTTTTGTTTGTTTTTGAAATGTTCTCAAAAAGACTTAAAAATCTGGCCAGTTTATCGCAACTAAATATTATTTCTGTGGTCAATTTTCACGACCGCACCCGCTTTCCGACCAAGCCTGTATATGTATACAATTGATTTCTATCTAGTTAATTTAATTTCTATAGTAATTCAATGATTTAATTATTTCATTTGTTTATCTTACTAAGAAAAATTTTTTCAAATATGTTTAACTTTTCAAACTACACGAAACATAAAATAGGTATTAAAAAAAATTAACTTTTTTTATTTATAAAACAATTTAGCTTAGATAAAACTAAAACTTGCAAACTTTGCTAAACAAAGAACATTTGTTTCCTTTTTAAACAATCATAAGATGTTACTTTATATAAAAAACCTCGCTTAATTTTATAAAAAAATTATAAAAAGAATGATGTTTCGAAAATATTTGTTCAAAACAAAATTTATCTTGCTTTTTTTTCGTTAAAAGATATTTTTCTAATTTTTTTTTGTTGTAATTGTCTCTTATCGGTCCAATTAATCTTTGGGATATTTTTTTTTTTGCTTTTTGAAATGTTCTCAAAATGACTAAAAAATCTGGCCAGCTTTTCGCAACTAAATATTATTTTCGTGGTCAGCAATCGCAACGAAAAAAGCGGGAGCGATCGCAAGAGAGCGATCGCTCCCGCTTCCCGAACAAGCCTGATATATATATATATATATATATATATATATATATATATATATATATACACACACATATATATACATACATACATATATACATACATACATATATATATATATATACATCGAATCTTTACATGTATGCGAAAAGCATTTTAAAGATTACATGTATGCGAAAAGCATTTTGAAGAAAAGCATTAAGAAAACAAATTGCTAGCGAACCTTTACATGTATGCAAAAAGCATTTTGAAGATCACGAAGTTAATAGAAGTAAGCTATGTGTTCACATATTTAAGTGTGTGCGTGTGTGTGTATATATATATATATATATATATATATATATATATATATATATGTTTATATTTCTGATAGCATTTATAAATATTATTTTAAATAAGTCTATTATTAGTTCATTGTTTTAAAAATATTGAAATAACATTTTTTTATAGATTCAGCTAGAGTAAGACTTTTACCAGGATCTTTACCTTCAAAAAATTTACCAAAAAGGAGTGTTCAAACATCTAGGTAAAAATTTTAAAAAATCCAACATCTGTTCAATATCTATCAAATCCAACATCTGTTCGATATCATCGTTTATACGATATTGCCTATGCCTTTGTGCGAATTCTCCTAGCTTTGATAAAAAGTCTGGTACTGGTTTTCTTGTATTACCAAGTCGTCTTCGTGACTACAAGAATTGTATTCATCCTCAACATGGTTTTAATCCTGATATTGTAAAAGAGTTGAAATCAAAAGTAAAAGATTTTAGTGAAATAGAAAAATATATTATATTGTTGTTTGATAAAATTAAAATTCAAGAAAATCTTGTATGGGATAAACACACAGGAGAAGTTATAAGATTTGTTGACCTTGGTGATATTGATTTAAACTATGCAACTTTACATGATGTTGATGCAGGAGCAACTAATGTTCAAGTATTTATGATACACAGTATAGTTAACCCTTTTAAGTTTACACTAGCTAATTTTGCCACACTTGGAATATTATCAACCAAAATTTTTCCATCATTTTGGAAAGCTGTTGCTTCATGTGAACTGGAATGTAAGTTAAAAGTTATAGCAACAACTTGCGATGGTGCTGCTCCTAACCTAAAATTTTTTAAAATGCATTCACGTTTATCTAATTTTAATGATAAAAAAGATATAGATGTCACATATAAAACTATTAATCTATATTGTCCTGAAAGGTATATTTACTTTATATCTGACCCCCACATCTTCTTAAGACAACAAGAAACTGTATTTATAGCTCTGGCTCTGGTAAATGTACTAGATACACGTGGAATGATGGTTTATACATTCTATGGAGTCACATAGCAGACATTTTTAAAGAAGACCAAACATGTGGTATACATCTACTTCCAAAATTATCATACGATCACATAAAATTATCATCTTATTCTATTATAAACGTCAAATTGGCAGCTCAAATTCTTAGCAATACTGTTATAAAAGTCCTTCTTAACTATGGATCTTCAGATGCTTTTGCCACAGCTAACTTTTGCTCAAAAACTGTCAACTTTTGACAGTTTTTTTGATATTATAAATATTAGTAATCCTACGGAATCAATTCAAAAGTCAATGACATTCTTAGTCCCATTTTCTTCTATTGATGATTGTTTTTAGCCATTTGTAGCTATGAAAATAGCTGTTTTAAAAATTGAGATAATATCAGATAATTGTTTTCAATTGTCAAATGTGAAATTTACATATTGTTGATAATATACATACTTATTAATATACATATTAATAATTACTCTTCTTTTTTAGTGAAGTTCGCAGTGACTTAGACTTGAGTTGTTGAACTTTGATTTTGTAAGCCTTTAGATTATCCTTGACATAGGAAAATGTCCTTGCTTTCACATACAAATTCAAGATGCCTTCAAGAACAAACTTCTTTATTAACAAAAGTATCAGTTTCACTTCTAATTCTTGAAAAATTAAATTAAGTGAGGATAGAATATCTTGCTGAATATCTTGCAATTTTATTGATGGACTTATTAACCATTTTTTTAAAGGTTGTTTTAGCGATAATAAAAATACAAATTGCCTCAATTTTCATTTTCCACAAGCTTGATCTATTACGCGTGTTAACAAGTTTGTGCTCAGGCAAATCATCACTTCCTTGATATTTAGCAGCAAGTAAAATAGATATATACTGTTAATAGTATTCTTCCTTATAAATATCTGAAAACCTGATGCGACGATATAATGTGCTAAAAACAGATCGATCCCTATTTGAAAGTAAAAAACCCTTCCCAGATGAAATTGTATCATTCTGAACTGATTGACCAGAAAGATGCGACAATATATGGTTATACACTTCAAATCCAAGTAAGGTGGAACACTGTGTATTTAATCCTATAAAAATTGAATCAATTTTGTCAAAAATACATTTGTAAAAATCTGGATAAAAATTTTCGACATTTCCTTGAAATAAAGATAAAATTGGTTTTATAATCTGGTATGCTGTGTTAGCTATATCAAAATTAATCACATAAAATGATTTTGTATGGACTCAAAACAATTATCTGATGAAAGCTTTGCAACACTTCTTTCTAAATATATCTGAAAGTCTTCAAGATCAAGAATTTCTTCTGATATTTTTGTTTTTCTAATATCTGATAAAACGTTAGAATGACTTGATAAAACATCAGAATGTTTACTATTTACGTGACGAGTGAGACCTCTAGAGCTCAAACATTTCTTGTTACAAAATTGACAGGAAAGTGTTATTTGTGGAACATCTGAGGCATGTTGTTCTTCGGCAACGTCATTTAACAAATCCTGGTCAATAACTCCAAAAATAGAATCACACTTGTCTTGATGCAACTCAAAAATAGTCTCAAAATTATTCAAATCTTTTGAACTTTCAGCCATCATAAAAGTTTGTTTTGCACCTTATTTACAAAGACCACCCAATTTTCAACTTAAACAATGAAAACAATTAAAAACGGCCTGCGTTTCCAGACTATACTTTTTATGACTATGGCTAAAGCTCTTGTTTCCCGCCGAGGCCTGTATATATATATATATATATATATATATATATATATATATATATATATATATATATATATATATATATATATATATATATGTATATATATATATAATTTATATATATATATAATTTATATATATATATAATTTATATATATATATAATTTATATATATATAATTTATATGGTTAGAATTCAATATATACAGCTGCGTATAAACTTTTTTTTAAATATATATATTTTTTTCTTTAATATATAATTATATCGATATTTCAATGATCTATTGTGATCAGCGTCATCAGGTATAATAAATAAAAGTTACAAAAATCGTTATAGTAAAAACAAACCGTTAAAAAGATAACATTAAAAAGCCAAAATATAATACAGAAAAAAACTTTTTCAAATAACTGATGTCAGCAGATTTTATTAAAAAGTGGCCCCCAGGTTTTGGTTGTTACGTTATCACTGTCATCCTGATTGAGAACCACGTCACCATTTCTCAACTCCTGTTGCACCTAAGCCTTTCTTAGTTCGAGTGACTATCTGATTTTCCGAGTTCGATATTCTGGGGCTACAGATAATGTTTGGGGTGCAACCCATCAAACTTACCATGGCATGTTTTAGAATGTTCAGTTGCACCCGAACTGGACCATTTTCCTTTTAAGCTGTTTTTTTGGTGTTCCATACATCTCGATATCACCTTCTTTTTAGTTTGGCCAATGTATATTGAACCAAATGAACATTTTAGCTGGCATACGCCAGGGTCTGTGTTTAGTGGTAGTTTAGTTTTATTGTTGCAGAAAACATTTTTTAAATTGGGAGTTGATGTGAAAATAACCTTTATGTTTTGCTTTCGAAATTCATTGCGAAGTTTTGAACCAACAATTGGTATTAAAGGTAGTTTTATAAAGGGTTGGGTATCTATTGGTTGAAATGTGGTGTTTTTCGAACTGTTTTTTAAATAGTCTATAGTAATATTATTTAGAATGTTCTTGTCGTGACCATTTTCAACAAAGATGTTTATTAGAAAATCAATTTCTTTTTGAAGGTGTTTTTGAGAGCATATTACAGTAAAAATACAGTAAAAAACTACTAATTCATGCTCGTAACGAAGCCAAACACAGATTATATTTAAGTAAGAAATTAATTAATGAATTAAATATATTTCTTCAGACAAAAGTAAGATTACACGATTATAAATTAATTAACAGTATAACCAACAAATCAAAAAATTACCATAACATTAAGAAAAAAACGGAAATGAAAGAAAAATATCATAAATTACATATTACATCGATTATAAAAAATACTTTTAATCCTCCCAATCAAGTTATTAAACCTGCTATACTCAATTTAACTAATGAGCTACTCAATTTAGGTCCAAATTTTGTACCACTGCCGGAAAAAAATTCCTTATATGGATATTATAACTAATATCGAAACTTGTGCTTTGCAACTTGAAAAACTTAAAAAACCAACACAGGCAGAAACTCTACGACAAAACTGTTCACAAATTTTAACAAATTCGCTAAAATTAAGATTAAAAGATAATTTAACTAAGCAACAACGTCTTTCCATAAACAAATTAAAAAACAATTCTAACATTAAGATATACCCTTTCGATAAAGGCACAGGTTTCGCATTATTAAACCAAAAAGATGCATCTCTCAAATTAAAAGAACAAATAAAAAATAGCAAAATTATTGATTATGATCCAACATCCACATTGACTACTAAATTTCAAAGACGATTGTGCAAATTAAGAAAAGAAGGTAAACTAGACACAAATACATACTTTAAAATGTATCCATCAGATTGTAACCCACCAAGGATTTACGGATTGATTAAAGCTCACAAACCAGAAAAAGATTACCCAATGTGCCCTGTTGTATCAACAATTAACACACCACCTTATGGAACATCTGATTATCTTGTTAAAATTAGTTAACCGACTCTGAACAAAAATAAAAGTAGACTTGTGAATTTTGATAATTTTGTAAATGAAGCTAAGCAATAGATAATAGATCCTAACGAAGTTCAAGTTTCATTTGATATAGTCAATTTATATCCATCCATACCCATTGACGAAGCAACTCCAGTTATTATTGATATATTGAACGCTGAAATTGATGACTTAAAAACTCGAGCTAAACTTACTCTTGCAGACATACATCAATTAATTGAACTTTCATTAAGTATACGCTATTTTTTATATAAAAACAATATCCGAATAATACCTAATTCAGGTCCCATAGGTTTATCTTTAATGGTTGTTATGGCGGAAGCATTTTTACAAAATATAGAAAGAAAAGCCCTTAACATAGCAATTATTCATACATCTGAACCAAAAACTTACAAGAGATATGTAGATGATTGTCATGCTCGCTTTGCTTCAATAAAACAACAACAAATGTTCCTGAACATCCTTAATGAACAACATCTTGCCATAAAATACACAGTGGAACTTGAAAATGACCTCAAACAACTCAATTTCCTAGATATTAACATTACAAACACAGACTCTGGAACTTATGAATTTCAAATACATAGAAAAGAAGCTATTACAAATGTTCAACTAAAACCTAACTCGAACATTAATCCTAACATTATTATTAGCGTTTTCAAAGGATTTTTATGTTGTGCTAAAAGAATATGCTCTCAAAAACACCTTTAAAAAGAAATTGATTTTCTAATAAACATCTTTGTTGAAAATGGTCACGACAAGAACATTCTAAATAATATTACTATAGACTATTTAAAAAACGGTTCAAAAAACACCATATTTCAACCAATAGATACCCAACCCTTTATAAAACTACCTTGATTCCAATTGTTGGTCCAAAACTTCGTAATGAATTTCGAAAGCAAAACATAAAGGTTATTTTCACATCAACTCCCAATTTAAAAAATGTTTTCTGCAACAATAAAACTAAACTACCACTAAACACAGACCCTGGCGTATACCAACTAAAATATTCATGCGGTTCGATATACATTGGCCAAACTAAAAAGAAGGTGATATCGAGATGTATGGAACACCAAAAAAACAGCTTAAAAGGAAAATGGTCCAGTTCAGGTGCAACTGAACATTCTAAAGCATGCCATGGTAAGTTTGATTGGTTGCACCCCAAACATTATCTGTAGCCCCAGAATATCGAACTCGGAAAATCAGATAGTCACTCGAACTAAGAAAGGCTTAGGTGCAACAGGAGTTGAGAAATGGTGACGTGGTTCTCAATCAGGATGACAGTGATAACGTAACAACCAAAACCTGGGGGCCATTTTTTAATAAAATCTGCTGACATCAGTTATTTGAAAAAGTTTTTTTCTGTATTATATTTTGGCTTTTTAATGTTATCTTTTTAACGGTTTGTTTTTACTATAACAATTTTTGTAACTATTTTATTTATTATACCTGATGACGCTGATCACAATAGATCATTGAAATATCGAAATAATTATATATTAAAGAAAAAAATATATATATATTTAAAAAAAAGTTTATACGCAGCTGTATTTATTGAATTCTAACCATATTTTAACGTATAACAAGAAAATGACATTCAAAGATATAATTTATATATATATAATTTATATATATATATATAATTTATATAGCTCTAATTTTAAAGGGTAGATCATTATATTTATAAACTATTAATATTAAATAATAGCTGAAATTACCCATCTTATATTGAAAATTGTTTTATATAAGAAATCAAAACAATTTATTATACATATCACCTTGATTACTTCAATTATACAAATCACCTTGATTCCTTTAATTATACAAATCACTTTGATTTCTTAGATTATACAAATAATATCAACACTGATATCATCTAGACATAAGCAAACCACCTTTATGTTATATAAATGATTTCTTACATAAAACGTATTATCTTGATTGCTGAAACAATTTCAATATTAAAATCAAATAAATCACTTTATATTTTCAAATAATTACCTCCATTTCTTGTATTAGCCAAATCATGTCCATTTCTTATATTTAATAAATCCTCAGGAAGAATTAAACTGCTTAAATTTGACACAATCATTTCATCCAACTTTTTGTGGATATTGTCTTCTGAGTGCAATATGCCAGCAAGTAAATTGCTAAGTGATTTTCTCAACTGCTGATGTAGCCCAGCTAAGTTGTACCTAAAGTCAAAAGTTTTTAATAGCTGCTAATTACAGTACTAAAGATTACTTTTAGGCTCCTAAAATCCTGTTTATTTAGACCTATAAAGTTAACAGTTTTTAAACTTTTTGGAGGTTCAGGAGGTCCCTTTTTGGACTTCCTTCCAAAAATCCAATACAGGGATTTAACAGTAAATTTGCTGTTGAAAGAGTGAACTGTTTATATAAATAATTAATCAAGACATTTTTTTTTAATACTTGGTCACCTTTCCTTTGTCGATAGTCAATTTTTATTACCCTCTATTGTGTACACACTGTTTGTCCCTTACTCCTTTGAGATTTAGAAAGATTATTCTGAAACTAACATAAAAAATCTTAATTACTATTAAATTTAATTGATGAATTGACAGAGAGAGCAGTATATGCAATATTGACATACTTTGTAATACAATACATAATAAAATTAATATTATCAATAAAACATTTGGCATTTAATAGTTTGAAGTAACTTAACTATAATATATTTTATTAAGATGCAAGTGCTCAAGTTATTGATACAAAATAATAAGATTGTCATTTTGCGATAAGATAACTTATAATTATGTATGTATGTATGTATGTATGTATGTATGTATGTATGTATGTTTGTATGTATGTATGTAAATACATTTTTTTAGTTGATAGTAAAAATACTTGATTAGACAAATTTTTAGTGAGAGGTAAAATGCAATATTAGATCTTACTAAAAACTCTTTGAATATCCATTGAGCAGTAGTATCGCAATAATTATACTAATTATATAATTATTCTAAATAATTATACTAAACATTTAGATAAAATTTAAAATCAACTTTATACCTACCGCTCTTTTGTAAGTTTATTAACATCATTTTGTAGTATAGCAACCAGGTTTGAACTTTCTTGCTCTTGGCGATCATGTCGTTCAAACATAAGCTCATTTTTGGAAATAAGTTCTTTGACGTTTGCATTTAACTATTAAATACCATACATACAACATACAATTTAATATATTGCAATATAAACAGTATACATAAGTATAACACTTGAAAAGTAAAAACAAAAAAACTTACTCAGTTACTCAAGTTGAAAAAGTATATAGATTAAAAACGTATGAACTGCATACTAATAAATTTAACTCTGTAGCTGATTAAAACGATGCCAATATTTTTTGTCCCTTATGAACTTTTGGGTAATGACATTTTGGAATAGATTTAAGTAGTTTTTCTTATTTTTCATTTTTAATTCTACCTCATCAAAAATGAAATTTAAGAGGCAGAATTTTTTATGTTTGACAATATTTTTGTGTTCTGATTCTAATTCTTATTAAAATATTTTATTTTAACTTTTATACTATTTTACTACTATTAGGGATAAGACATCTTGATGACTGATCCCTAATATATTATGATACCTAGTAAGGTTCATTCGAAACCTATCTAATACCTATTAGATTATTTCATATGACTAACATGGATGACATTATAGGCAGAGATGTTTTGAGTTGTTTTTTTTTTACCAAAAAAAATTTGCTTTGTTTTTTTAATTATTATTTCTCTTAATTTAAAAACTGATTTAAAATTTGTTTTTTGGTGGATGAAAAATCTACTTGGCCTCGTTGAACTTCTGTAGATGCAGTTTTCTCGAATAAACACGAGTTAAAATAAATACATGTTGTGTCAAGACTAAAACTAAAGACATAGTTAAGGAAAAAAAAAATTATTTATATATTAGTATCTATTTATGAAACTTAAATAAAAATAATATATATAGGTACACTTAGTTGAGTTTTTTTTTTGGTCAGAACTTGTTAGGTAAATAATAAATTGCTGGGGAGAGGGTGTGAAGAATTTTGAATTATTGAAGTAGAACATCCAATAAAAACTCTGAAAAATGATTGCAAAAGAAGAAAAAATTACATTCAATTTAAATGTATTGATTTATTTTATGAGTATATATAAATGATTTTAAAACATGATTTTGAGTTGAATGAGGATATTGAGACCAGGATGTGATTCACCAAACTATGAAATGATTGTGGGAAAGTTCTAAGAGAAAATTTAAAATGGAGTAAACAAAATGGTGGATCAACTCGCCCAAAAAGAGACAACAATAACAATTAGGCAAGAAGGGTAGATAAATATGGATAGTGTTACTAATGATTAATAATTTCTAAATAAATTATTATTCATTAGTAACACTATCCATGTTCTAGTACACATAATGGACTTAGAGAATCACATGTCAAAATACAACCTAAAATATATAGAGAATTAAACTTCAAAGCTTATCTCAAAATATTTAAAAGTTTTGTATCAAGTATTTGATGTGATGATTTATCATTTTTGAAACATCTATATAGTTTCTCATAGCAATAAACGAGTTTCTATTTAATTACAAAATGAGACTTCATAGATATAAATAAAAAATATTTAAAATAAAATCTGGCAATATGAAATCTGACAATATGAAATGGCTTATGGCAATAAGAATGGCTTGATAATCATTATCCTGATTTTGAACCTGGGTTAATTTTAATCTAAAAGATTGAGATATGTTTCCTACAATAATGTTAAGCAACCAAATCATAAGTTGTGTAGTGATTGGTAGTCTATCATTAACCAGTAAAACAATCAACCTTTAAAAGTTAAAAATAAATGTGAAAAAGTAAAGAAAGTGCAAATATATAAAACAAATCAAGACCTAGTGTTGAAAAACAAATTTTTGAAAGTGTAATTATTTGCATTGGCTAATAAGATTTGTTGACAACTATATACTACAGTCTTGCGAAAACTTCAACCTTTTAATTGCTTAGAACAGCTGATCTTGAATGTAATCCTGCGACAAGTGCTTTCAGTGGTTGGCGAACTTTAACTAAAACAAAACTCAGTTATTTACTGTCCATAATTTACTTCATGGACTAAAATGCTTTTATGTTTTCTGATTTATATGATTTACAGCTTTTTTTTACAAGTTTTCTGTCCCACTTTTTTTTTTCTCCTTTTTTTTTTTTTCTTCTTTGCTTTCCATTAACTGGCAACTTGAATGATGGTTGCTTGCAACTTGAATAACTGCTTACAGTCTTATTGGTAGTAAAATAAGAAAAAAAACAAAAACAAAAATAGTAAAATTGCAAAAAATAAAATATTTAGTCAATCAATCCAATTATTTGGCATTTTTACTGATAATATGACAAAATGATTGGATGCACCAATTAGTCCAACTATTAGTCAGAACAATAAAAAAATCTTTACAAACCTGATCAATTTCTTTTCCTTTTACTTCAATAGTTTGTCGTAACTGAAGTTTTTCACGCTGAAATTGTTTTGAAAAATAAAAAACAAAAATCAGTGTTATTTTTAACAATTATAACTATAAAACTATTATAAAAAAATTTTGTAAGGAGGAGCTGATAATGTTTGGTGTAATGTTAGTGAGGTGCTTCAAAAAAAAAAAACAATTTTGAACTGCCATAGAAATCTTTTGAGCCACCTTACTAACATTACACCTAAATGCATTTATCTAGTGGATACATACCAGAATGTAATAACAGTAAGGTGCAATAATAGTGTGGTGCAATAGTAATAAGGTATTCTTATTTACTTAATTCTAGTTATATCAATACCCAATAATATGCTGGGTGTTGAATTAACTGGAACTGACATCACTAAACCATTAACTAAACAAACAATTACGACAATTACTACCAATTATAATTAACTCCTTAGAAACAATATCTAGGTTACTAAAAAGATATATAATATATAGAATACTATATGAATTAACAATAATATCTAGAATACTAAAAAAATGACAAATAAAATCAGACAAAAGCTTGGGCATAAAAGTTCACCTCTAAATAATATTTTCAAGTATTCATTATTAAGAACATCTTGGTTTGTGGAAACTATTTTTTGACCTCAAGTTTGACATCTGAATCTTTTTTTAATTTTTTAGTAATGTAAATTGCTGTAGTAACAGTAGCTTCTATGCTATCTTCAGCGAGCTGACACTATCTATGTAGACAACAAGACTAATAAACTTGCTGTTACATCATAATTATACATTTGGGGAGGAATGGGGTGAGGGGATCATAAAACTTTTTCAGTAATATGAAATATTATAATAGTAATTGGAATACTCCATCATTTAGTGGTGCCACATGGTCTTAAATAATTTGATTGGTCCATAAATAAAAGTTTTTCAAAAGTATGTCATGATAGGTCCTAAAAGAAGCAAAATTTTATAAAGATTTTAAACATATTAAAGTTTTTTGACATTTTTAAAAAATTTAAAAAGCTTTTTAAAGTTTTTTCAAATAAATTTTTTTAGAAATGATTTTATAAAATATGACTTCTATTATTTAAACTTTTATAACTTCTTTTAAGAACAAACACAACATTCTTTTAAAAAACTTTTTTTCAAAATGAACAATCAAATGTTTTAAGGCCATGTGGCACCACTTAATGATGAAATTTTCTAAAGATTTTTTGCACACTACATTAGTCAATAGGAACATGGTTAGGTAGGTCTGAAAAAAAGTTTTATTCAAAATCATATTTGAGCAACACCCTATTATACATTTTCAATCATTTAAAGATATTTTGATAGATAATTGCTTGCGCAAATTAAATAGATTTTTCTCTAAACTTAGTCATTAATTGTCTCTATGCTATAATTAATTTGATCTGTTTTTAATTTTGAAATATTTTTTTTAACTAGAATAGTTATAACCAAAATATTTTCTTTAACTAGGAAAGTCATTATAACTAAAAATCTTTTACATAAAAATATATTTATACCTAACATAAAAGTTTATACATATATAAAAATATACTACATTATGTGTAATTGTTCTTATTCTCTTTAAGGATTCAAACAAAACTTAAATAATGTTATATATTACAATAGGTTAGGGTGTTATACCACAACATAATAATACAATAAAAAGGCATAATACTCACTAACCTAAAAAAGACAATGCAAAAGTGTAGCAAAAATTAAGATTTTAAATTGTAATTTTAGTTTACACCAGATCAGTATCATTTGTATTTTATTATTTTTTTTAAATATTATTTTATTTGTTTACCTCCAAATGAACAATATCTTTTTCCAATAATTTTATTTTTTCTTCTATTTTCCTGTGTTCTAGCTCATACTTTTCAGTTTGATCTTCGTGTAACTGTTTAATCAGATTATCTTTTTTAATTAACTCATCCAAAAGTTGCTTTTTTTCAATATTAAACCTCTCTTGAATAATCATTATTTCATCATTTTCAGTTCTGATCTTTTCGTCAAATGAGTTTTCAAGATTTATTCGCTCTTTTTGATGCTCATCTTCCAATGACTCTCTCAACTGCATCAAATCAACTTGATGCTTTTTATGGATAGTTTCATGGTACTCTTCATTTTCTTTTTTTAAGTCTTGTGCTTGTTTTTCTTGAGCAATCAATTTCAAAGTAAGTTGTTCAATATCTTTTTTCAAATCATCCAATTCCTTTAAATATGAAAAATACAAGTAAAAATTGTAATAATAAAAACCAACCTAAAAAATTATTTAACAAATTTTTTTTTTTAATTATAAATTTTGTGCAAAAAAACGCACAGAAAACATTAATTCTATTTATAAAATCAATAATGTATATAGTATGTAAACAAATTAACCTGCTCATGTACTGCTAACAACTCATCTTTGATTCTATCTTTTTCAAGTTCCATGCTAGCTACTACTGCAGTTATTTGTTCAGTATTCTTTTGTTGAAACTCTTCTTGTATTGATTGCAATAAGCGATTGTGTTTTTCCTACAACATCACGCAGTAAAATTTTATGACACTTCATATAGTAAAAAAATACTATTAAACCAGGTGTAATATATTAATACACCTGGTATAATAATATATTCTTTACAATGGATGTCAGCAACTAAAAAAAGTATATAGATAGAATCTCCATCCTTTTTACTTAATCATGTAGATAGAATGCATTTCTACTTTGAATCAGAGTTGAAACTTGAAAAGCGTGTTATCTATACTTTTTATAGTATAATATATATATTTTTAATATATATATTTTTATAATATATATATTTTTAATACTTTTTAAGTTTTAAAAAAGAAGTTTTAAAATAAAAAATAAAAACAATAGAGAGTTAAAAAAAATTTAGGTTAATAATATCTTATTAAATTTTATTAATAAATTAATATGTTATATTTTTATTTTATTTTATTAATATTATAAAAACTTAATTAACTAGCATATTTCAAAAAAGTTCTAGTAATGTTAAAATGATATAAAAGATTTAATAAACAGAGTGAACTGGAATAAGAGGTAACAAAAAATAAAAGTGCAAAAGTTTAGCAATTTTTTTTTTTTTTTTTTTTTGCATTTATTTATTTCAAAAGCTAAAACAAAAAATCTTTAAAAATGAGAGGCATTGTATTGTAGAGAATTTTGTGATTTATTTAAATGTGTGAAAATCGTTTGAAAAAGTATTTTTTTGCCGCTAAAAAACTTTAAAGATTCTTTTAAAGTTTACTAAGGCAAAAAAAAAGAACCTAGTAAAATATATATATATATTTTAAATAATCAATATTAAAATTCCCAAAACAAAAATTAAATTTTACTAAACTAAACAAGGCTGTTTTGTAGAAAATTTTATGCTAATGAAGATTCTTCAATGAAGATTCTTATTATAACAAGCATATTCATTTTTGAAAAACTTGAAAATTTTTCAAAAATGAATTTATAATTTAGTTTATAAAAAAAGCTATAAGCACAAATTACTTACAGAATTTTATGCAGATACAAATTTCAACAACTTAACAAAAGAAAGTCTCATTCAAAAAATTCAGCAAAATGTTTTAGCTCCACTGACGCATTTACACAAACACAAATTTCACTGGATTTCAAAACACTGGTTTGTTTCCACTTGATATAAGCAAAGTTGATCAATCAAAATTACAAACTGCTCAAACATTTTAAGTACCATCTGAGCCTGTTTCATCATCTTCATCTGAGCCTGCTTCATCATCCTCATCCCAGCCTATATCATCATCTAAAATCACTCTGCATCAAACTTAAAAAAATAGCCGACTTTAAAATTTAATAACCACACTAATGACTCGAATGTATCAAATATTGCAACACTTCACAGAAAGATTGGAAGGCAATTTGAAAAATATTTTACAATGCTACCATATTAACACACAAAAAAAACCTAACAGTCAACATTCTGAGAAATGAAGGTCAGTGTCTAAGTACATCTGAGGTGCTCGAGAAACTAAAGCAAAAAAATAAGGCCAAAAAGTCAAAGCAATTAAAAAACACACAAGATTGACTTCAGAGATAAGACAAAAACATCAAGAGGTGCAAAAAGTGTTGCAGAGTTTAGGAAGAAACCTTGGCAACTTAAAACAACATGTGGAACCAATATGAAGCTTTTAATTGCAAGTCTTGGGTTTGTCGACCGTGTTTACCCAAAAAATTTAAAATTGGTGAAGAGCTTTTTTGCATAAAAAAATGCTGCAGACCTGCTTCTGATCATGAAATAACTTTGCTTTTTTAGTATATTTGATTAGAATAGTTTTTTTGTGAAGTTAACTTCTATTAGATTAGCATAATAATTAAATAACTTCTATTATTTAATTTATTTTTATATAATGTAAAAAATTCTCTATAAAAAAAAAAAAAAAAAAAAAAAAAAAAAAAAAAAAAAAATTTCTTTAAAAAAATAATTGAATTTAAAGCTAAACCGTTTACTCTTAAAAAACTGTTTTATTAATTTTTCAGCATTCCATCAAATACAACTAAAAAATAATATAAAAATTAAACCATTGCAACAACTCATACTGTTAAATCTTGAAACATTAATGCATGCTTTTGGTTTATACTATCAATATCAAGAGCATGATGTTTCTGACTTTCCAACAATAACTGATGTTGTTCTTCAACTTTCTCTTCTACTATTCTTTCAAGCTCTTGTATCTTTTGAGAGTGTTTATGCTCCATTTCTTCTTTAAGTTCTGTGAGATTCTTAAGATGCTTGTTTAGCAGCGACTCTTCAACTTCTCTTAGGTCAGAAATTTGCTTCAGTTCTACTTCAAACAATTGATTTTTATATTTTTCTTCTATAACTGCATTATCCATCTGAAAAAATTAAAATAGAATAAATAAACAATGTTAAAATAAAATATTTCATATCTGCAGTTAAATTAAAATAGAATAAATAAACAATGTTAAAATAAAATATTTCATATCTGCAGTTAAATAAAATTTTTTACAAAAGAAACAATTAGTAATCTTTTAAAAACTTATCAAATGTTAAAATAAATTAAAATGATTTCCTGGTATAAAAAGATTCATTTGTTTAGAATAGTTTCAAACATAAGAGGAAGTTACTTATTAATTTTTTTTATCTATTTATAGATACTAATTCATTAAGTTTTTAATTATTTGTCCATTAATGAAATTTTAAAGTTGGTTTATTGTTTAAACTTTTGTTTAAGTTGATGTATAGTAAAATGTCTTTGAAAGAATATAATTTATTATAACATTAAAAAAAAAATTGTATATGTAAAAAAAAAAATACAAATTACTTAAAGCTATTTATAAATAAAAAAAATCTCCTTCAGCAAATTTAAACAATAAAAATCACAGAAAACAAAAAGTTTAGTCACTTGAAACTTTGCAGTAAGTGTTCTTTCAACTTCTGCAATTTTCATAGAAAATTCTTCATCATGTGGACGATCTTCATCAGTGCATGTTGAAATATCTAAATTATATTATACAGTTTTTCTATATTTAAGGGAAATATATAATTACAAAATAATATATATGAAATATTATATATACAGAAAAAAGGCAAAGAATGGAATAAAAGTAATAAATAACTGTAAAAGAAATAAATAAAAAAATAATTAACAAGTCAATAAAAGTAATTAATAAATGTAAAAAAGAAATGAATAAATAAATAACACAGTCACAGGTTTTAATAAGTCATAACAAGCATGACAACTGATTGGTTAGAGAACAAATACAATATCATATAATTTTGTTAATTAACTCTTTAAACTAAATAATTAAACAAGGTTTATACAAGGTTTAACTTAATTAACTTAAACTCTTTAAATTAAGTTAAACAAGGTTTATACTTTACATTTAAATATAGTTCCTTAAGCAAAATTTCAACAAATGATTGGAAAAAAAGATTGTGGAAACTGCCAATGAACAGATTGCACTGTGAATCAATTCAATCTCAATCAATCTCTTTGAATACAAAAACCATTTTTAAAAGTGCTTGAACAAAAAACATCCTATTTAATGATTTTATTTATTTTAGCTTTTGTATTATCTAAATAACCTAATCGGAATAATTTAATATTTATAAGTTTATAATTATTTTTGTTATTCTAATTAAAAAATATGTAAAAATTACTGCCATTGAGCTTAGTAATATAATAAATGATGAAATATAATAAATGATGAAATATAACAAATGATGAAATATAACAAATGATGAAATACAATCATGAAAATATCATGATTGTATAGTTTTGTAAAAGTTTATTGTAAAAAATAAATGCTTTTCACCATCCCTTACTATACCAAGAGAATCTGTATCTTTCATAGTTACTATAAACAATGTTTTAACAGTTTGCTGTATCTTTAAAATGTTATTTTATGAGGTGGTGGTTAAATTATTAGTTTTCATCAAACATCACCTGTGGTAATAACTGCAGCAACTTTGCTCATAGCCTCTTCTGCAGCTTGTAGCTTAGACTTTAATTCTTGAACTTCATGGTCATGGTCTAAAAAAAATTATCAAAACTTTTGACAGTTTACTTAAAGATATATATATATATATATTTTTTTTTTTTTGAGGGGGAGTTTTTTTTTTGAGGGCAACCTTTTTTTTCTATTTTAAAACTTTTTGTTAATTTTAGTGTAAATACTTAAAATATTTTTTATTGTGTAAAATAAAAAGTTTACATATTTGTTTTAAAAAATTCAAAAGTATTACAACGTTATATAATTTGTAGATCGTTGCGTACCAGTCTGAAACCGTATGTAATGCTGAAAAGATGTTGCATCCGTAAAGACCTCAATCCACATAGACAAAGAAGAACTAACTTTATTACTATAAATGAAAGCTTAATTCTAATTTAGGTTAAAACTTTGGTGCACCTTTCTCCTAAATTTTCAGCAATTTGCTCAGTTAGATATTTGCAGTATATTGTGCGTTATTGGCCCATTCCACTGGTCGTGGAGATGGCTTAAAGGTTCCGTGTTTGATAATCATAACTCTCTCGTTATAACTGTTTTTTTTTTCATTTTCGTGTTTTTCATATATTTTATCTAGAGATAATTCTATTTATGAGGTTGAGTTGGGGTTTGTGACTTTTACATCAAACCAGTTGTTCTGTGCTTTACATCAGAACCCACAAGCACGAATACTAAGTCTATCTTCATCTGATTCATTTACATTTTTTTCAAAAGTTTTATGTTTATTATCTGAAAAGTTGGCTCTATTCAGACATATTTGCAAATTTTTTGAAGCATATTACTTTCAAAATGCACATGTTATTATGATGCATAATAACAAACCCTCCTTTTTCGCAGTTCGCAGTTTGATTACATGGACATTTTGATGGTAGCCCACTAACATTCTGATTGTACCGAAGACACAATGCATTGCAGAATTCTGCTTTATTTAATATAAAACCTTGATCTATAAGTGGAAGTGCACTAAGCCAGCTAGAGGCACCATTTTTGCTTGCTTGTTCAACTGATCTTAGTGTGGATTTTGATAATAATTTCAAAACATTTTCCAGTTTTAATTTTTAAATGTTTTACTATTTTGCATTAATATTTTCTTTGATGATAGCATCTTTTAGGGGTACGACATCATTTTGCAGAATCATACATGTGATTAGGGGCCATGTTTAATGACTTTTATGTGTTAAATTGGTTGCATGCCTCTTCAGATAGATTTGTGACCTAATCCACCTTGACAAATTGGGAGAGTAAATAATTGCCTCTCTATAGGTGTTATAGTATGAGCCCATACATGTTAGAAGTTTTGACTCAACTAATACACCTATCTGATCGGAAAAAACACCTAGAAATATTGAGGTCTGGATCCAAATTGTGTGGGTAAAATAAAAATAAACTTTTACATACAAAGGATTTTTAAGCAAACATTGAACTTTCCTTTTGTTTAAATTATTTATCCTAAGTTAAACTCATAATGGATTTAGATTTAATTAATAAAATGAAAGTTTATGAGTTGAAGCAGTATTTAAGACTTCGAAATTTGCATGTTTCTGGAACTAAGAGGGAATTGGTTGTTTGTGTATTTTCTGCAATGGAAAACTTTATTGAGCCTGTGCTAACTGCTACAGAGGCAGTCGAAGAACTTAAAGATAAATATCAAAAAAAACTTTTAATTAACAATGTTAAATGCAGTGATTCGTATATCTTATTAGATGGTTGGTTATCTGAAGAGGACAGTATTAAACATCAGCCAATGGTTTTGTATCAAGATATTTTTGATGTTTAACCCATCTGAATTAGGCAGCAATGACTTAAATGATTATAAAAATTCAAAATCTTTTAGTTTTTGTAAAACAGGCTGGCCTCAAAAATTCGCATAATACTGTATAAGTCAGGAAAGTCGATTTTGTGCAATAAAAGGTGAATGCAAACATTCACAACGCATTAATGACACAAGCCATAAACTGTGGTTGATTATACAAAAAGAAAAATGCAAAAATCCGATCTTGTCACTGTACATGTATGGCAGGAATGAGCCAAACATGTAACCATGTTGCTGCAGCAATGTTTAGAATTGAAGCTGCTGTAAGAATGGGCTTAACAAATCCAGCTTGCACAATGGTTTCAAATCAATGGTTTCAAATCAATGGCTTCTAAATCGAAAAGATGTTTTACCTGTTAAAATTAAAAATCTAGATTTTAGCAGAGAAAATTTTTCTCAACATTGTAAAAAAAAGGACCATTTGTAGACAGTTTGTATAAGAAATTTAATCCAATTTCTAATTATTCTAGTAAACCTAATCTTCAGGATGTTGCAGAAGCGTTAAAAGAAATAGCCCCTAATTCCATCATTTTTAATGCTATCCTTAAACCAGATATTGACTTTAGTTTGAAAGTAGTAAACAACATTAGTACTTACCAATCAAACCTAATGAATGTTAATAATATACTAATATAATGTCAAAAGATATATTATCATTTGAAAAAAATATAACACTTCATATGACGCTTAAAAATATTGAAGAAATTGAGCAGTTGACCAAAGAACAAAATAAAAACAAATACTGGTATGAATATAGAAAAGGTGTTATAACAGCATCAAAAAGTTATGATGTTTGGACAAAAATGAACAAATTAAATAAAATTGATGCCGATCTGTGGGAACAAAATCAACGTATATCTGGCATGTCATTTGTTAATTCAAACATACCTACAATTAAGTATGGCAGGGAAATGGAACAGAATGCTGTTAACTGTTTTTATGAAATTTTTAAAATCAATCATAAAGGTGTAGTAATGCATGATTGTGGGTTATTTTTAGATATTCCCTTCATTGGCAGTAGTCCTGATCGTATTGTTACTTGTTTGTGTTGTCCACCTGCATGTCTTGAAGTTAAATGCCCATTTTTTATAAATTACTTGTCACCACTTGATCCGAGTGTAAAACTTCCACATTTGATTAAAAATGATGTTGGTATTTCTTTAAACAAAAATCATGTCTATTATATGTAATGCCTTGTGCAAATGGCTGTTACAAGGCACCATCATTCATATTTTATGGTGTGGACACCTCATGGAAATTTTATTGAACATATTAAATTTGACAATAACAAATGGGAAGAAATCAAGTGTAAGTTTATAGACTATTACTATAAATTCTATTTGAGCACAATTTTTATTCAACACTAAGCTTCGTCGAATAATTAGAAATTGGATTAAACTTGTTATGTAAACTGCCTACAAGTGATTATTTAACCACAGTTTATAGCTTGTGTCATCAATATGTTGTGAATGTCTGAAAGCGAGAATAATTCGGAAAACCATTGGCCATTGTTTAATATCGTCCTCTTCAGATAACTAATAATTAACTATCTAATAAGATAACTGATTACTGCATTTAACTTTGTTAGTTAAAAGATTTTTTGATTTTTATTAAAGTTCTTGGACTGCCTCTCTAGTATTTTGTACAGGCTTCATAAAGATTTCCACTGTGACAATATATGGCAGTTTGTTTTTTTATTGATAAGGATAAAAAAAATATGGCTACATTTCTGGAAATTTCTGTTTTTTTATATTCAAATTCTGATTCCGGCTGCTTCAGCTCCCCTTAATTTGCCTTTCAGCCCCCCTCCTCCCAACTTCAAAAGTGACAACTATGTCAAAACAGTGGCGGATACATATAAGCGAGGGAGGGGGGGAGAGCTAAGGGTAATTACCCCCGCCACCTCCTTCCCCCCTTCTAAAAAAAATTTCAAATTATTGCAACATATGATTATAATCATATTATGATATATATAAATTAAATTTGCAAAAATTTAATTTATATATATTTTTTAAAATTTTTTTTATTTATAACACATTCCATATATATTATAAGTAAACTAACTTAAATACATTCTAAAGGATCAAATGAAACAGTGGTTTTATCGAAAAAATTGTTGTGTCGATATTATATGGCTGTTACTTTTTTATATTCCCAGGATTGTCTAATATCAAACCCGGCATTTCGAGGTTGAATGTGCGGGGAGGTTGATGCCCCTTTTTGTAGCAATTGCCCTTTCCTTCTAACACTTGTCCTCTGTATGGCATAAATTTTGTTATAAAAATTAAGTAATATATTTATTTGCTATTGTAAAGTGCTCTTCTTTTAAAAATTCGCCCTCTTCCCCCCCCCCCCCCCCCCCAAACAAAAAAAAAAAAAAAAATTTTAAGATACTGGCCTCTATGGTTAAAGTTTAAAGTGGGAATTACAGCATAATAAAAAATATATTCCATATGAACTTGTAAGCATGATATATTATTAGGAAAGTAATTCAATGCAAAGTAAATTTTTTCTAAGTTCGTTAAGTATAATATTATAATTATTAGTGCTGTATCAGAAAGGGGCTAGGAAAGTGCAACTTGTTGCTCTTAAGTTTAGGCCAGGGAGGCCAATATTTTAGGTCTTTTTTGTTCCCAGGCTTCAACATCGCAGCCTTTTGTAAAGAATCTTTATTTGACATAATGACATTTTCATCACCCCCCTCCCCATGGTTTTAATCTTATTAAAACTTGAAGCATTAGTAAGTTTAATTTCTAGAAATAAGTTAATATTAATATTAACTTATTTTGAATTAATTTTGTACTGTTTTTTTCATTCACGCTTGCAAACGTGATCACTATTTTTTTGCACTGTAAAGCCTTTGACTAATTGGCAAGTGAATGTGAACTGCCGCCTTAACTTTTTTTAGTTTGCATAAATACATTTGTTGAACATCCACCCCCAACGTACACAAGTACGCAAATTACACAACTTAGGACACCTAACCTCTTGCTGCGTACATAATACATGGATGACCCCTAAACATGATTGTTCTAAACACCTCTAAAAATGAACACCTAGGAGGTTATGACCACTTATCTAACTTATAAACATTTCAAATTATTAACTAAAACAGTGGTTTATCTAATAAAAATAAACAAAATTTAAGATTTTAGCAATTAAACAAAATCCTTTACTACAAGTGTTCTGAAGTGTTACAAGCCTGCTCTGAAAATGCAAAGGAAGGGGAGGGATTCCTGACCCAAGACTTGCTGGAGAAAAAAAACGCATACCAAACTTATTAGCCTTTTTTTTCGAAACATATGCAATTACAAGAATGAAATGTTCATGAAGATTTAAAAAAAATCAATGTGTTGTAATCTTCCATTCAACCTTTACTGTTTTCCAAGTTCTTAAAAAAAAAATTTTAGAAAAAGAGAAAAGTGAAAAGTTTTATTAAAAAGGGAAGGTAAACATAAGAAAAATGGAATCCATGCCACAGTGATCGAGTATATTCAATGGATTTTGTAGATGGAACACATACCATTGCAAACATAAAGCCAAGAAGGAGTTTAAATAAACTTTGTACAAAATTGAACTTTTTAGTTTTAAAAGGTATTGGTACAGATTTCTGTGCTAACACATTATTCCTTAAATACTATTATTTAACGACTTTAAGGTCTTATATTTCCATCTCTTGAATTATTGACCAACACAGGTTTTAAGTTATAGAGTGCAGCACAAGCCCTCACAATATCATCAACATGATGCAACATTGTTAGAGGAAAAACACTCTTTAAAATTCTATAAGTTTTTATTCTATTAATGACTCGTTCAAAGTGTATTCTTAAGTATGCTTTTTTTTAGTTTTTTTTACATTCAGATGCAATCATTTGACTTTTAAGACGAGCACCTGGAGGAATTATCAAAGTACAAAATCTTAACTAAAGTTCTTCCTGGATTTGAAATCCACGATCTGCCATGACTTCATCATCATGCTCTAACAAGTCATAAAACCACTGTCTCTTGTTATAAAATTATCTGAACATCTTCCATCATAACAATCAGATAAAAAAGTGATAAAACCATTAGGCAAAATTCCTACAAGAAACTTAAACGTATTGTGTTGTTTATAATCAGACCAAGTTGAGGCTTGTGCTAAGAGAGACTTGGGTCGTTCAATAAAAACTTCAGCACAATCAATAATCACACAACACTTGTAATATCCTGCATTCTTAAAAACCATAAAGCTATTGTAGATGTCTCTGTATAAAAGTTCATTTTTTTGTCTGTTTTAACTTTGTTGCATGAAAAAATCAATGATTTCTTAGTTTGATTAACTTGTTTTTAGTTTAGTTGCTTCTAGGATATATTCAAGATATTAACTTTTTTAACAAGAGAATCAATCAAGTTTATAATGGCTATTTGAACACCCTATTACTGCACAATTACCTCTTGCCATTGTGTTGAATTCAAAAGATGAGATAAATACAAATAAATACTAATTCAAATACAGATATTAAGGAAGTTTTTTTGACTTTTACCCACACAATTAGAGTTCAGTCCCCACTGCGCAAAATGGTAGAACTTAAGTTGGATAGGTGCATTCATTTGCAGGTTTTTAAAATACTTCAATTTCTTGCAAAGTCTGCAAATAGTAATTGAATTTATGTTGTTGACTATTAATGTAAACTCAATAAGCAGCATGTGGTTGTGTTTCAGCAATTATTGATAAGCCCTCTCTTTACACCAGCTAGAAACTTTTAAATTTGGCTAAAAACATCAAAAAAACCATATTAGACGAAAAAAAAAATTTTAAGATGTATTTGTATATAGGTAAATTTGTGATATTTAAATTTTAATATAAATTACTATTTAATAATTTAATATAAATATAATAATAATAATAATGTTAAATATTATTATTAAATTAAAAATTACAATATATAAAATACAAATTAAATAAATGGTAAAACATGTTTGCATAGTTCATAGCCAAGAAATTAAGTTAGCTATTTAGTCAAACTGTTTAAGAAAATTCACTTTTCATAATTAACATTTTTGTAAAATATAAAATTCTATGTTGCCATTTAAAACCAGCTGTTGTTATCTCTATAAGATTGCTATCTCTATAATAGGTAGAGTTTGTAATCTATATAAGAAGTAAGGTTTATTGTGAAATATATAAAAACAGGATAATGACTTCTTAACTTGTCTCTATACAAATTAGGATGTCTACAAAAAAATACCTGACATTTACTTAAACAACAATGCCTTTTTGGATAAAAAAAAAAAAAACACTTAATACCCCAATACAAAAGAAACTAAAAAATAAACTAAAAAAATTAATTTTTTTTTTTTTTAAACATAATCGCTTCCAACAAGGCTGCAAGCAACCACTAATTAGTGTTGGAAGTTACTGGAAGAGAAAATATGAAGATTGTAGAGCAAGATAACGATTGACAGACGACTTAAAAGATTGCAAATTATATAAATCAGGAAAGCAAGATGAAGGAAGCGAATTCCAAAGAACTGATGTTTGAGGAAAAAAACTAGAAGGATGAGACTTAATTGAATGACGAGTAACACGAGAATGAATTTTTGTAGATGGCACAAGAGACGCTAGCTCTTTAGAGCAGTGCCCATTATAGTATTTGTAGAAAAGAGAAAGAGAAGCAACATTACGACGATGTGACAGAGGTTGAAGGTTGGCTGCAAGAGCAGGTCCAACTATGTTTACAATGCGTTTTTGCACCTTGTCTAAAAGAGAAAGGGCATCATTAGAAGATCCACCCCAGATATGGCAACAGTATTCCATACAAGACCAGATTTGAGATTTATAGAGATAGAGAATAGAATTCAGAGTAAGAAAGTGACGAGCTTAATAAAGAGAAGCAACTTAGCAGATGCTAATTTTGCAATGGATTTGATATAAGGTTTCCAAAAAAGATCAGAAGTAAAAGTTAATCCTAGAAGATGAAGGGTAGGAGACTCATCGAGTACATTACCGTTCATAAATATAGGAAGGTCTAAATTATTGCGATAACAATTGGCTGAAAAAAATTGAGTTCTATCTGAATTAAAGTTCACCAGCCACTGTGAACCCCATGCTGTAACAGAAGTGAGATCCTTTTCAAGCTCAGATACCCCCTGCAAGCAATCAGAGGGAGTTGGCTTCTTATCGTGACAAGAATAAATGGTAGTATCATCAGCGAACAATGCCACCTTAGATGTGAGAAAATCTGGAAGATCATTAATGTAAATTAAAAAGAGTATAGGGCCAAGGATTGAACCTTGAGGAACCCCTGAGGTTACAGAATAAGAAGAAAAGTGATGTCCATCGAGGACAACTTTTATACTACGATTGGAAAGGAAGGATTCGATAATCTTAAAGATGTTTTCAGATACACTGTAAGAAGAAAGCTTATGGAGAAGACCAGCATGCCAAACTTTATCAAACGCCTTAGAAATGTCAAGAGCGATGGCCTTAACCTCTCCACCTTTATCTAATGCGCGATAAAACCTATCGGTTATTACTGTTAGCAAATCAGCCGTAGAAGGAGAAGATCGAAATCCATATTGATGATCAGAAAGTAGGTTATGAGATTCGAGATTCGAGATTAAGTGTTTGTTAATTAAAGATTCAAAAACCTTGCTTATGATAGGAAGAAGACTAATGGGACGGTAGTTAGACGAATCGGATCGCTATATATATATATATATATATATATATATATATATATATATATATATATATATATATATATATATATATATATATATATATATATATATATATATAATTATTTTTTTTAGTTTATTTTGTAGATCAGCCCTTGGAATCAAGAAAAATAAAAAATTACCAACCTAAAACTGTTTTAGGTTGGCATCAAGTCGGCACAAAATTAAGAAACAGGATTCAACAAATCAACAAACATGCCAACATTTAGCATAAAATCTACAGAAAAAAAAAACACTGTTCAAGTTTACAGAGTTAACAAACTTTTCTTTTAAACGTCAACATTTGCTTAAAAATTTGAAAAATGAACAAGTATTTTGCTAATTTTATTTTAAATATTTATTTACAATTAATAAAACGTTTGCTTTTCATTTTTAATTCAATTGTTTTTTTATTTACCATTTAAATAAAAGGTTCGTATTTAGAATTTAAATAGAACGTTCATTTTGCTGTTTTATTTTAATCATTTTATAAGGAATTTTAAAAATAAAATAACTTTTTTTTTTTATTTGTATTATTAAATTTAGAATGTGACTAAAATGCTAATTTTTTCGATTTTATTGTAATAATTTTTTTTAAATTCCAATAAAATCTTTATTTTGCAGTTGTGTTTTTAAACTAATTTTTAAATTTGCTAATTTTTTACTAATTTTAAACTAATTTTTAAATTTTAAAAATATAAATATAAAATGTTCTTTATTTCATTTTTATTTATCAAAATGTTTTTTATATAGTTTTTATTTCTAACTGTTGGGTTTAAAATTTAAATCAAAAGTTTGTTATTAAAATTTAATTAAAATGTTTATAATTTCATTTTTATTTTAACTATTTTACAAAGAATTTGGAGAAAAAAAATGTTTATAAGTTGTTTTACTAAATGATACTTTAAACTTTTTATGGATTTTTAAAGACCAATTTTTATTAAATACTGGACTATTAAAATCTTGAATCTGTTTAGTCTAACTTGTTAACAGATTTTAATTTTATAATAATAAATATATTGACAGTAAACACATTATAAAACAAAATAAGCTAATAAACCAAATAAATATATCTACTGAATATAATATTTTTAATATATCATTAAATAATGAATATTTAAAAATGCATAAGTAAAATATAAAAAATTACAAAATTAATTATTCACCAAAATTAAATAGCGAATTTTGAAAACACAAGAATAAATTCTAGATTTTTGACTAATTATATTAGAGATTTGAGTAGAGAAATAAGAAATGTTTTTTATCATTATCAATTACAAATTAATAAAATGTTTCATATTTTATATTTTTATATATATATATTTTTTCAAAGTTACTCAAAATGTTATTTTTAATTTGAAAAAGGTAAAATGAGATCTGACTAAATCTATTTTTAAAAAACTTACCATGTTGAAGATGTGCTATTTCATATTCTTGATGTTTAACAAACTCGTTAAGCAAGTTTTGTTGCTGTTCAATTAAATCATCACGAGCCATTTCAAATTCTTTTTCTTTCTCATTAGATATTACCTTTAACTGGTCTTTTAATAGACATATAATTTCTTTTCCAACCTTTTTTATTTGCCAGTCATATTCTAATTTCAGTTTGTCTATTTCCTGTTTATAACTGACTCGAGCAATTTCAAAGTCTTTTTGAGTCTTTTTAAATACATTTTTTATTTTTTTGGCATCCTCAAGTTTATCTTTTTGAAACTGACTTGTTGCTTCTAGCAACTGTAATTGTAAATTAGTTATTTCTAATTTAAGCTTTACAACAATTAAGTCTTCTTCTGTCATGGTATTTTGGTCTAACTTAACTGTTAACTGCTGTGAAATAAGTTTATTGTTTTCAGCTTTCAAAAGTTCAACTGTAGATAGCATTTCGTTGATTTGATTTTGATACTTACAAGTTGTTTTGTCAAGCAAATTTTTTGCATCAAAATTAAACTTTTCAATTTCTACAGCATGTTTCAAAACTAGTTTTGTGTGCATTTCTGCTAAGCTGCCAATTATGTTTAATTCTTTTTTCTTCCCAAGAGTTAAAATTTCTTCTTTTTGTGCCGACATCAATTGCTCTATTTCTTGATTGTGATTGGTTACAAGATTATTAATTTGATTTTCATGAGCTTTATTTAATGTTATTTCTTGATCTTTTAAAGCATGTTCTAAATTTTGTTCATGAAGATTTTTTATTTCATTAAGTTTAAACTCATTCTTTTGTTTCATTTTATCAATTTTCAAACGCAGTTCATCTTCAACTTTTTTTCTATAAATAATAATTATCAATGACTTTATACTACTAAAAAGAAAAACAATTATGTTTTAATATGTACAAAACATAAAGTTTCCATTAACATTGATCTAAATTTGGATCACTCAATTTATCAAATTGATTTAATATATCATCAAAGTTTAATACAACATAAAACAGAGATCAAATCATTTTTATTTCGTCTCAAGTTATGATGTAACATAACAACCAAAAAGTAAACTGCTGGTTTAAAGATTTTAAAACCAACAAAGGTTTAAAACAACTTAAAAGGCTAATTTAAAAATTTATAACTAAACTTTAGTTTAACTTTTAAAGAAAAGAAAAATTTATAGAACTTTTTTTTAGTGTTTTTATAAAAAACTTTACTAATAATATATCATTGGTAAAAAACCACTACCTCAAACCTTAAAAAGTTGAGGTTTTCAGAAGAGGCAAAAATATGAACTGATACTATGATTGTAAACTAACAATTACAAATTTAAAGTTCAATACAACTTGGCATAACAATTTTTACCCTTTAATTAAAATTTAAATATTTAATTAAATTTGATTTAATTAAACATTGAGATGTAATGTTTTGAACTCCATCAATTGATTTGGGAGTTTTGTATCATGCGACAAAAAAAAATGTATTTCATTTGGTATTTAATTTACAGGGTTTTAACAATAGATCCATATGGTAAATTACAGTTCAAAAGCATTGAAATACAAAAATTGCATTTTTTGAGATACATTATAATGACATTTCACTTATGATATTCCACTTATAAAATGAATTTGTTAACTTAAAATTCAAGTTAGCTGTAACCTCAAGTTATTTGGTGTAAACTTTTTAGTAATGTCACAAAAAATTATCAGTTTACTATAAATAAATTTAATATATATTCAATTGTAAATTTAATTGGATATTTATAAAATTTAGCCAATTGGATATATTTTCCAAACCCGTATTTTAATTTTCCATATTTAATATGACTTTTTTCCAAAGACAACCCAATATGATACAACTCCACATTGTCAATTAAATAAATGCTAATCACCTGTTGCAATCACTCTTCTTTTTGTGTTCGAAGTTTGTAAAGACAAATAGGGCGTTATTCTGTTCTACTATTTGTACTTACAGGTCTTTGATAAAAGCAGTCATAATGTGTTCTTTAAAACAACTATTTTTTACCCAAAAAAAAATTACGTAAACTAAAGTTGAAAAATTATGAATTATAAATAACACTATTGCAAAAATTCATGACAAAAATGGTTTCATTCCAACCTGAAAGTAGACAGACAACTACTTAAAAGAACCACATATAAATACCAGGTAGATAACCTACTTGTCAACAGATAAATTACCTGCCAAAAGAATTTGTTGAACATTAGATGACTATATGAGAATAATATAAGATATTTAAAGTCATAAGTCAAAAGAGCTGCTAAAAAGTTTTAAAATCATTTAATAACAACAACAAAAAAAGTACATAAATAAAACTCCATACCTTTCTTCAACTTGTTCTGTCAAACTCAAAATTTCCATGTCTTTACCTAATCTTAATTCATCATATAGAAGCTGAAGTGTCTTTATTTTTTCTTCGCTAAAATTATGTAATGTAAGAAAGTTTTCATTTTTAACAATAAGTTCTTCTATTTCATTATGAAGCTTTTTGATTTCAAGATCTTTTTCTTCTATCCTTTTTGCAAATAACCAATTGTCATTATTTTCAGTCTCTTCGACTTTTTTTTCCATTAGCCCTTCATAAAAAGTAACTGTTTCTGCAACTGTACTTTTCAACTTAATGTCAAATAAATTCTCAAGGTCTTTAATTTTTGCCTCATAATTTTCTTCAGATTTTTTAAATTTATCCACAACCAAATCATTGTTTTGATGAAGTACATCAATTTCCTCTACTTTTGCTTCTAAAATCTTTTTTGTTTCAAAAAGTTCTAATTTTTTTTCTTCAAACAAATTAGTAAGGTCCATAAGTGTTTTGCTATGATCTGTTTTTAAATCATTCATTTTTTCATCCATCTCAAACTTGTATTTTGCCAGTGATGAAGCTAAATTTTCTTCAAGAGTTTGTATATTCATATTGTTTTGTGATGTAATTTCATCTACCCTTGCCTTTACATAATTATCATGTTCAACTTGGATATCTAACAAAATTTTGTTGATATTGGCTTGGTGTTTTATTTGTAAATCACTATCATATTCCTTTAAGCTTTGCAAATGCTTATTATTGAGTTCAAGAGCTGCTTTTTCTAGTTCTGAAGAAAGCTTTGTTTCAAAAAACAAATTTAAGTTTTTTTTTTCGAAATTTAACTGATTTTGGTAATTCAAGACTAACTCTTCTGTTTTCTGAGACAATCTAATTTCATATTCTTTTTCATATCTTGCGGCTATATTATCCATTTCTTTTTTATGTGTTGTGGCTATATCATCTATTTCTTTTTTATGTTTTGTGGCTATATCATCCATTTCTTTTTTATGTTGATGTTCTAAAGAAATAATTTCATTGCTATGCTTCTCATTCAGAGAATTACTTAGCATCTCAAGCTCTTTTTCAATTAACTTATTATTTTCAAGTTTTAGAGCTTCAAACTGTTCAACTCTGGCCGCCCCTAATGCTGTTTCTAGCTCTGTTATTTTATCTGTATAATTGCTATGTAATTTGGCCACAAGCTTTTCAGTTTCTTCAGAATATTGCTTTTGCAATGCTAAAATAAATTTAAAACTAAATGAGAACCAAAAAGTGTAAAAAAATTAAACAGTGGAATAAAGGTAACAAATAAATTACCTTCTATTAAACAGTGAAAGAGAAGTAACAAATTAATTACCTTTAATTAAACGGTGGAAGAAAAGTAACAAAGAAATTACCTTCTATTAAACAGTGAAAAAAAAGTAACAAAGAAACTACCTAATTAAAAGTAAAAATGAAATTGAAAAGTAACAAACCTTCTATTTTGTTATCATGCTGTACAAGTAGTTCCTGAATTTCTTTTAAATGATTTCTTTCTAAGACAGTTTTTAGGGTTCGTATTTGCTTTTCTTTTTCAGCAGTAAAACTAGTTGTAAAAGCTGAAAGTTGGGCTTCGTATTCTGATTTTAGGTTTACAAGCTAAAATTAAAAATTAATAAAAAATACTCATAATTACAGTTACAAAAAACTTGTATTTAACAATAAAAAATGTTAAAAATATTTATTAAATATTTAAACACATTAAGATCAAAATTAAAATATATTAACAAACTAATGAAAAAACAAAATAATTAATAATTATCTAAAAATGACCTCAGCTTCTTTAATTTCAGACAAAGCCTTAATTCTTTTAGTGTATTCATCATGGAGCATATCTTCTGAAGCTTTCAATCTTTGCTGATGATCAATATCCAGCTCTGATCTTAGCCTACTTAAGCATTCTGAGTTAGTAACAGACATAGCCTCTTTTGAAGAACGAAGAGTATCTTCAAACTCTAACTTCATTGCATCCTCCCTTTCCTTAAATGCAAGGTTAATAGTTTTTATTTCCTCAGTAAGTTGGTCAATTTTATCATTCTTCTGGTTAATTGTTGCTTTAAGTTTAATGAGCTCATTATTACTTTTAATAAGCTCTTCTTTTGTCTCTGCTAACTCCAACTTAAAAACAAATTAAAAAAAAAATCAAATATTTACTACAAAATAAAACTATTAACTTTTATTGAGATAAAAAAAAAAAAGGAAATTATTAACTTTCAATTATTTTGAAACATTCCAAAAAGAATTAGTGGATCCTAATATAAGTAATATATATGGTTTTTTTATTTTCTAAAAAAAGAAAAAAAGTTTATCCAAAGTTCATTATAAAAGATATCAATATGTGACCTGATATTGCATGTTTTCACTAAGAGCTTTTTTATTATTTTGACACTCAATTTCGATTTCTTTGTTTGCATTGCTTAGATCATTATTTAAATTCATAAATGCTGCTTGCTCTTCTTGCAGCTTTTGTTGAAGTGATTGCAATCTTTCACTGGATTCAGATGCTAAAACTTTCTCAGACTCAAGCAGCAATTCAAGTTGTTTTTTTTCTTCAGATAACTAGTTAGAAATTAAACTAAAATTATAAATGCAATAGGTACGAACTAAAATAATATTTACAGTATTTAAAAAAACTATGCATTGTTATAAAGTTCGCAAACTAAAGGTTCACAAACTAAAAGTTCACTAAAACAAATATATAAAAATCAAATTTTCAGCAAAATATTTATAAATATGTAGGGGTAACCAGAAAAACTTTAAACACAGGGAGAGAATGGAGATTAAGAAATTTCCTACTCTGTTAACATTAGAAAAATGTTGTCAATGGTCGATATGTTGGTAGATGTAATTTTAGCTTTAAAACAATTAGGCGACTTTCCTGCAAAAAAAAAAAAAAGCAGATTTTAGAGTAAAAAAAATTTCTTGATTCAAGCGCTTAATTCAGATCTACACTCACTCTGATCAATTTTTTTTAGAACAAACACCTGTGGACGTTTGACAATGTAAATGTTTATCTATCAATAAGTTTGTACCAATTTGTTTGATTTTTTCAGTACACCTCATTGGGAGAAAATTTAGAATCTGTCCAAAGTCTCATCTAATGCTATTGTAATGATTGCTACATAATGATATCTTATGGACAATTAAAGTTTTGTAAATGGTGGATATATAATAGTAACGGAAAAAGTTAAAAACCCTAGAAAAAGTGTCCCTTGCTGCTGCAAAAAAAAGCAAGAATGGTGAAGAAACTTACAAAAAAATCAAGATTTCCAATAAGAAACATTGACAGATGAATCAATACACAAATTTCAACAAGTGAGAGTGTTCAAACTTAATGACAATGGATTCAATGACAGCAATACTGGTCTTTTAATATGCCATAGGGAAGA